CCCCTCCTTTGCGCCCGTCCCGCCTCGGGGGGCGCTGCTGGCGTTCCCGGGGGAGCCGGTCGGGGGCTCTGGGCCCCTGGGGCTGGGGGAGCGGCAGCTTGCGGGGGGGAGCAGCTTGTCCGGGCCGCAGCCGTGACCCCGTGAGCTGGGGTTGAACCCCCGATGGTGTGTAGCTCTCTCGGGGCTCACGCACCGGCGCTCAGCACCCTGTGCTTCTTGGTGCAGCAGGATGGATTTGTTCGCTCGCGTTCACCACTCTGCATCATCTTCTTTAAAGTGAAGTTTGGTAGAACCTCAGGTGATGCGGCGGAATGGGCTTTGCAGTGGCACAGAGGCACGTGTGAGCCCTGAATCTTCGTTTTCACCAGACTGACGAGGGCTTGTTTCCCTAACTTGTGTTGTTTTGGGGAGGCTAACGCGTTTGAGGTTTCTATAAGTATATTTAAAAGTCTTCACAAGGTAATTGTCACGCTAATTCCCTCCCGAATGGCTTTCTGAGCGCGTTTATGTGCCAGAAGGTGACGTGATGAGTTTGGAATAAGCAGTACTCCGTGTAGCAGCCTTGGGAGGCGCAGGTTCACTTCTGTTTGCTCGTGTGTGTGTGAGGACTCCGTAAATGTGGAGTGGGTGGTGGTGTGTGTGCAGCAGCATTTCCTCAGGACTTGTCGGAGGTGGGGTACTCGTTCTTGCTTTTTAAGTGTACAGTGGTGCGTCTGATGTTGTGACGTAAGAACAGATTTGTTCTTTGAAATAAATTGGAAAACGTTACAGCTTGTCTTATAGCTGATGGGTGGAAGAAGAGCCTTTATCTGCTGCTTCTGCGGCAGTGTCAGCACAGAGCGCGTGTGTAGGAGGCTGCAGGGTCACATCAGCAAACGGACGTTTTCAGGATGCTCTTTCCTAAGAGCACAGACAATTAAATCATCCAATTACTCTCTGCAATACTCTGGCAGTATTCCTTCCTGCTAGCAGCAAAGGCAGGTAGTTATGTCAATGTTTATGGTAAGGCCAATGTGACACTTTAGGTGTGTTTTTAATGTGCCTTTTATGTGGACGCCGCCCTCAAGTGCTGTGGCTGAAGAGGAGATCTGTTCTTTGGGTTTGCATTGCATAACCTGATTTCCATTCCTTTAAAAAGATATGTTTTGAAGCTTAGCCTCTCAGATTGCCTTTGAGGGAGTATATTGTAGAGACAGAAAAAATGAGTATTTAGACACAACAGTGCCTTCTCCTGGAGCATTTAGTTGTTTGTCTGTATACTTGCTCTGGCACTTTGCAGGGTGCCCAGCACAGAGTGAGGAAATGGCTGACTTTGTGAACTGCATTATTAGTTACACAATCTAACAGCAGGTGAGAGGATAAAATAAGGCAGTTATTGTAGAGAGCCGTCTAAAATTCATGTTCTTCTGACATAGGATCCTCTGTAGAGTCTAGGGCCTTGTCATTATGTCTAAATTTTCTTTGGATCCTGCTATATGTTTTTGTTTCACATCCTCCCTGCTGTGAATTAGTTCCTACTTTGGCAGGAACGGGGAGGGACACATATGAGAAGTCAATTTTAAGAGTCATCTCTGAAGTCCTTAAGAAGCTGACGTTGCCGGCTAAAAATGCTGCTCCTGAGGCAGTACTCGAGCAGATAGGCCTTAGTGTCCTGAGATGTCTTTTCAGAATTGGTGTTGATTACACGTGAGAGTGTGTGATCTGTAAATGATACGATCTCAGCGCAGGGGGTTTGCAGAGTTCTGGAGTCTGAACGGATGGCTGCAGCGTTGCACCGTTCCCCTTCAGCTGGGGCTCCTGCCCGTGGGAAGGAGGAGGGCGCAGGGCGGCGTGCCGTTGCCGGCAAGGGTGCAGGAGGCCTTACCACCTGCTAACTCAAATGCCTGCGTTTTTACATCCTTTTTTTATCCAGGGATCAAAAGGTGAAACCTTTTACCTGCCAGTTTACTGTAAAGAGACAACCTGGCCATGGTAAGGAGGCATCTATAGCGCAGTCCACCTGGTATCTTTTTGAGGTGCTTGCTGTAAATGCATTAGAGTAGTGGCAGATCTTGCTGCCCTGCAGTGTGTCCGTACGGACCGTGTGTTGGCAGTGGCAGGTGCGTGTTGCGATGAATCCATGCCCATGTTCTGCGTGTAGCTCTTTGTCTGCAGAAGTTGTGCCTGTGTTTCTGCTGAGTTATGCTCTGGTGTCTTCCTGCTTTTTTCCTTCCTAATTCCATGTCTCTCTGCGAGCTCTGTATCTCTGGAAGATATAGTTCTGCTCTTAGTGCTTCAGCAAGTGCTGTCTGGAATGAGGTTTCCCTGTGTGCTGGGATTTCAGAGCAACCCTGTGCCCCTGACCTTAACTTAACTGTTCTGTTTCAACGAAAGTAAAGTTTTGTCACGTGTATTGTAAATTAAACAGGTGTCCTGCTATTAGGATTACGATAATATAATTTAGCTGTCTGCTGGTTTCTCCAGCTTATTTAAGCCAGGAAGCTTTGTGAACTATTTAAGAAAATAGTCATTTGGGTCAAGCCAGGCCTGTGCCCTGTGGGTTCATGGGTGAGGTGTTTGAGATTGGCATGCTGCAGAAGAGCTGGTGAACACCGTCTAACATGGTTGTTGCTATTAGAATACAAAAACACTACATGTATAAAACACCAG